AAACTCAAATATTTTGTTTTGATATTGCACATAAACAAAATTATATTTGACAGATTACGAACTGCATTTCTCTATCTATCTAAAACACAAGTACCCGCGCGTAATTGTGTGTATGATGACAATAACGCTGCGATGAGCTTGTCTCCGAATTCAATCAAAATTCACAAAAGTGACTTGCGTGGCGCCATATTCTGGCGCTTGCCAAAGCTCAAGACTAAAGTCTCAGGTACTTTGTTACCCGTCAGTTTAGTCTCAATTAAAATATTTTTTTAATAAATTTTTATAACTTTTGGCTATAAAAACTTAATCCTATCTATTCTTTTAACCTTTCCTACCATCTTGCTCACTTTCCCATTTCAATTTTGAAAAAAAATTTCAATACATGAACTGGTCTCCTATCGCCATACGACTGTGACCTGCCCTTAAACGTTTGTTATAGTGTGGTGAAGGTGACTCTAAAAAAAGCGTTTTACGATAGACACGATTCCGCCATTTTTAATCACTGGGAATTAAAAAATTAAAAAGATTCTTAAAATATACATATGTGATGAGTTTTTGAACTATGTCTTTTACCGAAAACTAAAAAATCAGGAAAAAAGCTGATAATGTTGGAAACGGAAAATATTTTTTTTCTTCATTCAGTTTCAACCCTTACCGCTCATAAAAATTAAAATAATATAGACGTTTTCAACACATTTTTTAGTACCCTTTTGAATGGCATGATTTAAAAGTGCGACAAATTTTGATTTTTTGAGTAATTGCAATCGTTAATGTTGAAAACGGAAAATATTTTTTTTCTTTCTTCAGTTTCAACCCTTACCGCTCATAAAAATTAAAATAATATAGACGTTTTCAACACAATTTTTAGTACCCTTTTAAATGGCATGTTTTAAAAGTGCGACAAATTTTTATTTTTTGAGTAATTGCAATCGTTAATGTTGAAAACGGAAAATATTTTTTTTCTTCGTTCCGTTTCAACCCTTACCGCCCCAAAAATTCAAAAGTGCGACAAATTTTTATTTTTTGAGTAATTGCAATCGTTAATGTTGAAAACGAAAAATATTTTCTTTCTTTGTATTAAATTGCATTATTTTCCCTATAATTATCAAAATCACTTAGATTTGCTTTTAATATTTACTATTTATGTGTTTGATGTATAATTTTTGTTTTTTTGACTGAATAGAATGCATAATTACATATAAAATTTGTTTTTCGTTAAACTTTTAACGTTACGTTCTTCAGCCTAAAAAAGAGATTTAAGGCAATATCTTTCTTCCTTTTTTCTGAAGCGTGTGAACCCTAAAAAAACATGATTTTAAGAAAAAACGTTTAAAGCCAAAATAGCTCTATACGTTACAGTGGTTGCGCCACCCACTATAACTGATCTATTTCAAAAACTATCATTCGGATTGACTTAAAATTTTAGGAGGGCATCTTTGACATATTAAGGCGTTAATTTATGCAAAAAAATCTATTTTTTCATGAGAAAGCCCCCTTAAGTGAGTGAATTTTAGATTGGCTAGCGAAATTTATTGAATTATTATTTAATAATTTTTTTAGATGTTAAATTATAAAAAATTGTTCTCAAACAAATTTATTCCTATCATTTTCCTTGACATTTTAAAAAATGTAGACCTTAATCCGATTATTAGAACGGAAGATATAGAAGTATAAAATTTTGTATTATTATTGCAAATTTCGTAAACTAACAAATATTTTAAGCTGCAATTTACGTTAAAGATTAGTCTTACTATATATAACACAATTTCAAAATTTCATTGCAATCGGTTATTCTACTCCGAAAAAACCAAAATCTTACCTGGAATAGCACAACATTATTATAACAACCTTTTTCGACTCATTATTGCTATATGTGTAATTAAATGTGCTAATTTTATAAAAAAATAAATTATTTTAAAAATTTGTGTATTAATAAGAGAAATTACGCAATAAAAAATGTTTTTAGTTCACTTTTTAGATATTGTACAAGATAGAAGATATAAACTTTAAAAAAAGTAATTGTTTATTGTTTTATCTTTATTAGAAAGAAAAACATAACACTTTTTGTAAGGCCTAAAATTCTGTAGGGTATGCAAAATCTACTTAGCGGTACTGTATATACTGAATATATATGGATTATTTGACAAGCACATTTATTTTCAAAATTTCTGAATTTAAAAATAATTCTATTTCTTTTGATAATGTCCAGTTTTTAGGACATTAACGCTTATTCACGGAAATGCAGACCTCTAGAAAAAATAATTAATTAAAATTTAAATAATTGAAATGATATTTTTTAATTGTATTTTCTAAAAGATGAGATATCAGCTTTCAAGAAAACTTTAAAACCTACAAAATTTATTTGCATTTTACAAATTTTTATTATATTGCAACAAAAAATTTTTTAAAAATGATTCGATTTCAATGTAATTTGGACTATTTTCTTCAGAAAATGATTTTTTACAACTTCACTGTGGGGATTATGAAACAAGCAAGCTGTTTGCTCTTAAACATTGTGTTTTTAATAAATTACTCTTTATCTTTATTATATTTATTTACGCTGCCCAAATGAATTTTGTTATGGGCCCAGAATCGCCTTGTTATATAAACGTGGACATTCGAAATCGCGTTTAGTGTTCTCCTTTTTTTTTACTAACCCCACATAACCTTGGCATGCGGAAGCCAAGGTATCTGTATACAAATTTCCCAATAGTCCCTAAGCAAAAAAAAAAAAGTAAAAACAATTTCGACGTTTAGAAGCTGCAGATGCAAGCTGTGTTAATAAAAAGTGATTTGTGGGATTACGTCAGAGGTACAAAGGTCAAGCCAGAGGTATTAGCGGACAACGAGGCTACAGTGCTAGCTCGGGATAAAAATGATCATAAACCAAGATCCGAAATAATTGGGAAAAAGATTGAAGAGCCTCTTATCACTACGTTGGGATACATCGATGTTGCTAAATCCATAGTTTCGGCATCAGTTAAAGATTTCTGTTTAAAAAAAAATTATGTTTCAATTAAGTTAACGTTAAAAGAAATAATTTGATATACAATAATTACATTATAATAAAATAAAAAATTCTGAGACTGAATTGAAAAAGAGAAAAAGGACATTTACTAACCTCAATCACTTTCATTAAATAATCCTCATCCTCCTCCAAAAAGGCAGCAATTATTTTAAACATGTAAATGAGATCGGGTATTTTATTGCATGCTTTCTTACACATAGCTTGTGCTTCTGCGATCAGGTCATTGATATTTTTTAAAATAGAGCTATTTTTAGGTTTTCTTTTGGCAGATTCCGAGAGTAAATAAAGACTTTTACAATACTGTTCTAAAGCAGGTTCAGTTATTGTAACATTTTCATCCCAAATATCAGTCAAAGATTTTCCTGAGCGACCGCCTTTACCATAAATAACTCGACTCGCATGTTAAACTAAGTAATTTAATTCTCCTAGAAAAGGGCAATGTAGAAATACCTCAAAAATACATCTATTTTCAGCATTTATTATCAATCGTAGAGAATCAAATAAATCATTTAACATGTTACTGATGTCTTGAAAACTCCACTCCTCTGGATTGCTGTATAATTGAAATAGCCGCAATCTTTTTTCTTCCAATTCTGTTAGGTGTGTTGGTGACACATTTGTTTCATTACACAGCCCCACAAAAAAAAGTATCGTGCGCGGCAGACCAGACTAGTCATTTCCTATGTATTTTGACGCGCTGAACACGAATCCGAAGTCCGCTTTGCTCCATCACGTCAGGATTTTTTTCTAACCTCCAAAAACCTGTCGGATTTTGAGAGGTAGGATATTTTTTTTTTAAATTGATGGATTTACTTCAAACTTGGTATCTAGGGGTTTTTTGGGTAGCAGATGACGAATTTGAAGTTAGATTTTCAAAATTCAAAATGGCGGCTCCAATATGGCGGACGAATTTTGTAAAAATTGATGGATTTACTTCAAACTTGGTATCTGGGGGTTTTTGGGTCGCTGATTACGAATCTGAAGTTAGATTTTCAAAACTAGGAATGGAAATTCTTATATACATAAGTAAGGTATTCACGTCTTTTTATGGTAGCGCACTTTTTTGTCCTCAAAGGATCTGTGTAATGGTTTTCTTTTCAAATTGGTGCCTCCAGGTACAATATCCCTTTTCAGCATCCAATAGTAGTCGGCCATCATATTTACATCCCATCTTCCTTGATAACGACGCTCAAATTCTTTCAGATCTTGATGGAATTGTTCTCTTTCTTCTTCACTGTAATCTCCCAAATTTTCAGGGAATTGATCCCGATGCGAGTCTAAGTAATGCAATCATATCACTAACTATTTGCTCCCAAATTTCACTCTTGTGATTACCCAGAAAATTTTCGACAACTGCTTTGAAACTAAGCCATGCGGCTTTCTCCTTTTTATTCATCTTGGTGATAAATTGCTCATCTTTTAACAATTTGCGAATACGTGGTCCGTCGAAAACCCCAGGTATTTGAAACAGTTTCCTTTTTTATCTAAGGCTTTGACAAACTGTTTAATTGCTCCTAGTTTCGTGTGTAAGGGCTGAATTATCACCTTTGAAGGGTCGATATCGTCCGCCATATTGGAGCCGCCATTTTAAATTTTGAAAATTTAACTTTAGATTCGTAATCAGCGACCCAAAAAACCCCTAGATACCAAGTTTGAAGTAAATCCATAAATTTTTACAAAATTCGTCCGCCATATTGGAGCCGCCATTTTGAATTTTGAAAATGTAACATCAAATTCGTCATCAGCTACCCAAAAAACCCCTAGATACTAAGTTTGAAGTAAATCCATCAATTTTTAAAAAAAATAGCCTACCTCTCAAAATCGGACAGGTTTTTGGAGGTTAGAAAAAAATCCTGACGTGATGGAGCAAAACGGACTTCGGATTCGTGTTCAGCTCGTCAAAATACATAGGAAATGACTAGTCTGGTCAGCCGAGCACGACACTTTTTTTTGTGGGGCTGTGTTATCTACGCATGCATAGTTATCTTGTCTCCGTGAAATTTTAGAATTTTCTTCTGACAGTTCTTCCATTTCAAACAGCGGATGTGGACCTGATGCTTTCCTCTTTTTGCTCTTGACATCCTTTCGACAATTAATTGTGTTATAAATTTGCATTCCCAAAGACTCATGTCCTTTACCGATTCTTGTGCCTTTAACAGTATCCGCCAATTGCGGATAATTCTTAACAAGCATTGAAGCTATTAAATATGCTGTACGACGAGATGTATCCTTTAGAACTTGTATCGCATAATATTCTATTGTTTTTCACATTCTTACTAATATTTTCTTCCACAAAGTTGTCCATGATAATGTCATTTTGATTCCAATCCGCGTTTGTTGGTACTATCATTAATTTTAAGTTCTCTTTTTTTCCTAGACATTGCTCAGCTCTTTCTAATAAGTCTTCGGCGTCAAAAATTTCCGATCCGTCTTCTTCTTCTACAATCTATAAATGGTTAAAAATTAATTGTAAAATGTATGAATTATAAGAAAGAAATAGTGATTTTGATTATCAACTAATATTACTCATAAAGAAAGAAAGTAATAAAATAAACACCTTATAATTTTCGCCGACAAGAAGACTCAATTTTTCTTTTGCTTGATTTATAATTTCATCTAAATTAGACGCTCGAATTGTACCCTTTCTAGTAGGAGTAGCATCGATTATTTTAAAGAGCGGCATTTTCACAGCTGTTGAAAGAAAGTAAAATTATTGTTTCTCAAGAAAATGTAACTGTTCTATATTTCAAATATTTAATTATTTTTAACTAAACATGTTGTGCATAATCCTTTACTGAATTAAAAATGTGATAATTTTAACTAGTAAATTTTATTTGCTTTAATTTAAAAAAATATACTGCAAATATTATATTGTTAAATTTCAATGCTAGTACCTCATAAATTGTTAAGAGAAATTATAAACCATTTGTAAGAAATCCGTATTTAGGAACTACACATACGAAATTTCCGAAATTGCAAGTGTGAAGTGGCTCATATTTAATAGATTGATTTAACTGAATACATTCATATTTTAATATTTCAATTATTTCGTGACAACGAAGTGTGTCGTGATATTTAACTTTTAGCACTTCATGGACTAGATAAACATTATCTTCATCATCGTGTAACAAAATACAAATTTTCCCTATCTTGACATCAAATTTATATGTTTCTTGTTCCATGATTATTATGTCTCCCTTTTTATAGCTAGAGCCTTTGATTATAACAGAATTGCATTCCTGGATAGAAGAAGGCAAACGTGATCTTCTCAAGACCTCTTTAATTTCGCCACAATAAATGATATAATTTATTTCTCCACTACCAAATATTTCTAAATCTAATCTCGTATCAGCGCCTAATCTTAAGTAACTCATGAACAATTCATGCTTTACGGTAAGGGATTTTGTAAGGTTAATGAAATTGTGAATACCTCGAGTTACTCTTTTAAAGTAAGAATGTTTACTGTCAAATCGCAAGCTCCATACTTTCGTGAGAGGACCAAATTTACTTATTAAATCTGGATAATGGTGTAAATAATGGTACTTGGGTCGTAGTTTAATATTTGGAAACTTAGATTTTCTTAAGGCAAGATATTCGTTAATCTGGCCTCGCAAATACGGTAAATAAGATTCGTGGATTTGTGGAGAACTAATAATTTCACAAATTTCGCTAAGCAACGTGACAAGATACCATACTTCGTCATCGTAATCCTTGATTTTGTCAAAAATTATCAAAGGAAAAAGCCTCAAAAATTGCCAGACATGGCAAGCAGAACCTGCAATCTTTTTGCTTGCAGAAGACATTTTATAAGGTTTGTCCTTTTTGTCTTCTACAGAATAAGGAAATTTTTTAGTTCTACTATTCAAAGTATTAAAAGAAAACCATTTTTTTCTCAGGAAATAGTCAATGAAAAGTTTTAAGTCAAAAGCAATAACCCCTTCAGGTTCGTCATGCGCCCAACAAGGCGGAAGTCCATGAATAACATGAAAATATAATTATTTATTAAAAGCGGAATCAAATCTTACCCCCTCGAAATTTTCCAATTTTTCAGATATAATTTTAAATAAAGCATCATTATAACGTTGTACAGTTCGTTCATTATATTCTTGGCATTCCCCATTTTCAGCTTCAAATTCATTTCGAGTTACTAAACAATATCTGCAAAAGTATTCTGATGTACTGAAATTCTCTGTGAACCCTCCCAAAGAATGACTCCCAAGATTATCTCCAATGAAAAACAGTGAAGATGCTTTGACAATTTTATTTTCATTAATTTTAACACCGAAATTATGAGCTTTCATTAACCCATTTCGTCCGAGAAGTCCGTTTTTCTTCCTCTTAATTTGCTTTCGCCATTTTCAAAATTCATGGACTAAAAAAAATTGGCAGTAGGTGATTCTTATGTATTTTTTAGTCCTCTTTCAGAATCTTTAAGAAAATTTAACTTTTGACTTAAGGATAAACAGTTATGATTGTTTAAACAAAAAAAAGACGTATTTTTTGGGTTTTTTTCCCATTAAAACTATATTTTTGATTCGAAATCGCGTTAGAAAAAATTTGGAATGTCAAAATATCGCGTCCAAAATGTCTGCCCTTTCATTTGGTGATGATAAGAAATTTTTTTTCTCGATAAATTTAAAATGGCGCCTCCAAAATGGCCGCCAAAATGTCTGAAATTAAATCGATCAGTCCGACTACTAAAAAAACTAGAAAAATATCTGCAAAACTTGTTACTCGGGGGTTTTCGGGGTTGCTGATCCCGAAATTGATGTCAGATTTTCAAAATTCAAAATGGCGGATCCAAAATGGCGGACGACTTTTTGAAAACTTAATGCAATTCGCTTGAAACTAGTTACTCGGGGGTTTTTGGGGTCGCTGATTACGAATCCGACGTCAGTATTTCAAAATTCAAAATGGCGAATCTAATATGGCGGACGACTCTTGAAAAAACTTAATATATTTGTCCGCCATATTGGATCCGCCATTTTGAATTTTGAAAAACTGACCTCTGATTCATAATCAGCGACCCCAAAAACCCCCGAGTAACTAGTTTCAAGCGAATTGCATTAAGTTTTCAAAAAGTCGTCCGACATTTTGAATTTTGAAAATCTGACATCAATTTCGGGATCAGCAACCCCGAAAACCCCCGAGTAACAAGTTTTGCAGATATTTTTCTAGTTTTTTAATAGTTGGACTGTCCAGTGCCGGCCCTAGCCTTCCTTGCGCCCTTGGGCAAATTTTTCCAGGCGCCCCTCGTATGGAAAGGAAATTTAGAAAAGTGAACCAATATTAGTTGTTATTAATAGTCCAAAATTTAGCCATTAGTGTATATATTTGATAATAATTTGACAATTATTTTCAGTATAAATTTTAACGAATCATTTGCTACTTCTTATGGGATTTAGAAGCTTTTGTCAATGATTAATTTCCTATTGTATATCAAAATGAGAAATTAATAAAAGCACTTATGTATTTTTGTAAGAATTCTATTTAAAAAAGCATATGGATAATATTAAGTAAGATTCAAAGATTAAATATAACCTCACAGTACAAATTAATTTTTATGTAAAAATTTTCATTACGACGAATGTTTAAACAGAAATGGAAAATTTATAAAAATATTTAACTCAGTTTAATTCCTAAAATCAACTTTTCGAGCCTGTTTCTCAGCGAAAGTTTGAATTAGAACAGAGGTATCTAGATTTTCGGCGATATCGTGTTCAATAGATAAAGTTGCTAAATTTGAAAGTTTATTCTGTGACATTGTCGATCTTAGGTACGTTTTAATTAACATTAATTTCTAGAAACTGCGTTCACCACTTGCTACAGTTACCGGTATTGTTAATAAAATAGGCATGGCTATCCATATATTTGGATACAAATCTTGCAAATCATGTTTTTTTATGAAGTTTAATACGATTAGTGGAGTAATTTTGACTTTAGATTTATCGACAAGAAATCCTTTGACACTCAACAATTCATCACAAAGTTGTCTACCTTCAATATCTGATTTTGAATTTATTGTTAATTTAATTTGAAGACTGTTACACATTTCTAAAAGTTCGTCTCGATCTGGCAGATTATCAACATTATACAAAAAACCCCAAATTTTTGAAAATTCATTAAGATGTTGAAATCTCTCTTTTATTGATGATAAAACTGTATCCAACAAGGGGTTAAAAAATTCAACTTCTAATTTCTTCTCTGGGCAAGTGATTGGTTCGTCTCTGTTTTTTTCATCAAACATCCGCTTAACACGTCGTACCCTTTTTATTTCTTTAAAAATTGGTTCAGTTTCAAGCTCATCTGCTAGTTCTCTTGCTGTAACAATGGCCTTTTTAAAACCTTCTTTTCTATAGTCTTCTAAAAAGTTGCAGCAGTTCTTTAACATTTCTACGCATTCGGTGATGTCTATATCCTTTGCTTGAAGCGATTTACTGACTATGTTTATTTGGAAAAGAATATCATACCACACAATCAGTGAGACAAGAAAGCTAAAGTCTTTTAATTGTTCGGCTAAAGTAATAGCTTCATGTGCTGTATGACTATCGCCACCTGGAATTTCAGATAAAGCCACTAAAGCGTCATGAATTACACCGATTTGGTATCGAACTGCTTTCACACTACTGATTTTAGCTTCCCAACGTGTGTCAGATAGTTTTTTTAACGTGTATAGTTCAACGTGATCAGTCAAAATTTTCCACCGATTGACTGAAGCAGAGAATAATGTGAACAATCTCTGAAGTACACCGAAAAGAGTTACTGACTTGACTGAAGATTCTGCAGCATCAGAAATTACGAGGTTTAAATTATGGGATCCACAAGATACAAAATCAGCCAACGGATTTTCATCTAATATTCTTCTTTGCACGCCAACAATTTTTCCTTTTATATTAGATCCGTTATCATATGCTTGACCTCTGCAGTTTTCGAGTTCAAGTCCGAATGTCTTCAACATTTGAAGTATTGATTCAGTAAGACCTGCACCAGTCGTATCATTGACATTAATAAATCCCACAAAATGTTCTTTTATTTCTACCGTATCGACAGTTACATCTACAAATCTAATAGTAAGGGAAAGTTGTTCTTTTCGCGAAACGTCTGGCGTACAATCAGCAATGATTGAATAATATTTGGCTGACAGAGCATTATTTTTAATTACAACATTTACATTTTCAGCAATTAAATCTATTAATTCATTTTGTATCTTTGGCCCACAATAATGATCAACAATTTTGCCATCCACAGCAAGATTCAAATGATTTTCCATGACAGGATCAAACTTTGCAATCGTTTGCACTAATCCCAGAAATTTACCATTATTAGGCGTAAAAAGTTTATCTGAATTACCTCGGAAAGCCATATTATTTACACCTAAATATAAAACAATATTCAACAGCCGAAACAAAACACTTTGCCATCGCAAACTCTCTTTTTTAATAATTTTTAATTCCTCTTTATGGACAGTTTCTCCTGTTTTTAGCCTCATCTCTGTTTCTATCCACATTCGGTAAGCTTTTTTATGAGAAAGACTGTTCTCATGAATTGAAAGATATTCTGATAAATTTTTCCATTTATTGAATCCATCACCAACGAATTTTGAAATAGATTTGTTGTCAAAAAGTCGACAGCAAAAGCAAAATACGCAATCTCGCGAAAGAGAGTACACTAACCATCGTCTGCAAAGTACTTCGCCATTTGAAAGTTTTCTAGTATAATATGAGTTTGAAAAATGTCGACCTTCTCCATTTTGAGGGTAATTGTCAATTTTAATTTGATTTGGACCT